TTTTGGAAAGATAAAATCTTGAAATCCGCCAAGATCTTGAATTCAAGATTTTGGAAAGCTAAAATCTTGAAATCGGTCAAAATCTTGAATTCAGGATTTTGGAAAGCTTAAATCTTGAAATCATCCAAAATGTTGAATTCAGGATTTTGGAAAGCTAAAATCTTGAAATTTGCCAAAATCTTGAATTAAGGATTTTCGAAAGGTAAAATCTTGATATCGGCCAAAATCTTGAATTCAAGATTTTGGAAAGCTAATATCTTGAAATCGACCAAAATCTTAAATTAAATATTTTGGAAAGCTAAAATCTTAAAATCGGTCAAAATCTTTAATTCAGGATTTTGGAAAGCTAAAATCTTGAAATCGGCCAAAATATTGAATTCAGGATTTTGGAAAGCTAGAATCTTGAAATCGGTCAAAATATTAAATTTACGATCTTGGAAAGCTAAGATCTTGAAATAGGCCAAAATCTTGAATTTAAGATTTTGGAAAGCTAAAATCTTAAAATCGGCCAAAATCTTGAATTCAAGATTTTGGAAAGCTAAGATCTTGAAATCGGCCAAACTCTTGAATTGAGGATTGTTGAAAGCTAAAATCTTGAGATCGGCCAAAATCTTGAAATTGGTCAGAATCTTGAATTCAGGATTTTGGAAAGCTAAAATCTTAAAATCGTTCAAAATCTTGATTTTAGGATTTTGGAAAGGTAAAATCTTGAATTCAAAATTTTGGAAAGCTAAAATCTTGAAATCGGTAAAAATCTTGAATTGAGGACTTTGGAAAGCTAAGATATTGAAATCCGCCAAGATCTTGAATTCAAGATTTTGGAAAACTAAAATCTTGAAATCAGTCAAAATCTTGAATTCAGGATTTTGGAAAGCTAAATTCTTGAAATCGGTCAAAATCTTGAATTCAGGATTTTGGAAAGCTAAAATCTTCAAATCATCCAAAATATTGAATTCAGAATTTTGGAAAGCTAAAATCTTGAATCAACGATTTTGGAAAGCTAAGATCTCTAAAACGGCTAAAATCTTTAATTCAGCATTTTGGAAAGCTAAAATCTTGAAATCGGCCGAAGTCTTCAATTTACGATTTTGGAAAGCTAAGAATTTGAAATCGGCAAAAATGTTGAATTTAGGATTTTGAAAAGCTTTAGTCTTGAAATCGATCAAAATCTTGAATTCAGCATTTTGGAAAGCAAAAATCTCGAAATCTGCAAAAATCTTGAATTCAGGATTTTGTAACCCTAAAATCTTGAAATCGGCATAATCTTCAATCCAGGATTTCGGAAAGCTAAAATCTTAAAATCCGCCAAAATCTTAAATTCAGGATTTTGGAAAGCTAAAATCTTGAAATCGGTCAAAATCTTGAATTCAGGATTTTGAAAAGGTAAGATCTTGAAATCGGTCAAAATCTTGAATTCTGGATTTTGGAATGCTAAGATCTTGAAATCGGTTCAAATCTTTTATTCAGGTTTTTGGAAAGCTGCGATCTTGAAATCGGCCAAAATCTTGAATTCTTCATTTTTGAAAGGTAAAATCTTGAAATCGGTCAAAATATTAAATTCAGGATTTTGGAATGCTACAATCTTCAAATCGTTTAATATCTTGAATTCAGGAATTTGGAAAGCTGAGATCTTGAAATCGGCCAAGATCTTGAATTCAGGAGTTTGGAAAGCTAAAATCTTGAAATCGGTCACAATCTTGAATTCAGGATTTTAGAAAGCTAAAATCTTAAAATCGGTCAAAATCTTGAATTCAGGATTTTCGAAAGTTAAAATCTTGAAATCGGCCAAAATCTTCAATTCAGGATTTTTGTAAGCTAAAATCTTGAAATCGGCCAGAATCTTGAAATCGGTCATATTCTTGAATTCAGGATTTTGGAAAGCTAAAATCTTGAAATCGGTCAAAATCTTGAATTCAGGATTTTGGAATGCTAAAATCTTGAAATTGGTCAAAATTTTGAATTGAGGATTTTGGAATGCTAAAATCTTGAAATCGGTCAAAATCTTGAATTCAGGATTTTGGAAAGCTAAAATCTTGAAATCGGCCAAAATCTGGAATTCAGGATTTTAGAAAGGTAAAATCTTAAAATTGGTCAAAATCTTGAATTCAGGATTTTTGAATGCTAAGATCTTGAAATCAGCCAAAATATTGAATTCATCATTTTTGAATGCCAAAATTTTGAAATCGGTCAAAATCTTGACTTCAGGATTTTTGAAAGGTAAAAACTTGAAATCGGTCAAAATCTTGAATTCAGGATTTTGGAAAGCTAAAATCTTGAAATCGGTCTAAATCTTGAATTCAGGATTTTGGAAAGCTCAGATTTTGAAATCGGTCAAAATCTTGAATTCAGGATTTTGGAAAGCTAACATCTTGAAATCGGTCAAAATTTTTAATTCAGGATTTTGGAAAGATAAGATCTTGAAAGCCACCAAAATCTTGAATTGAGGAATTTGGAAGGCTAAGATCATGAAATCGGCCAAAATCTTGAATTCAGGATTTTGGAAAGCTAAAAACTTGAAATCGGCCAAAATCTTGAATTCAGGATTTTGGAAAGCTAAGATCTTGAAATCGGCCAAAATCTTGAATTGAAAATTTTGGAAGGCTCGAATCTTGAAATCGGGCCAAATCTTGAATTCAGGATTTTGGAAATATAAGGTCTTGAAAGCCGCCAAAATCCTGAATTGAGGATTTTGGAAGGCTAAGATCTCTAAATCGGCCAAAATCCTTAATTCAGGATTTTCGAAAGCTAAAAATTTGAAATCGGCCAAAATCTTGAATTCAGGATTTTTGTAAGATAAAATCTTGAAATCGGCCAAAATCTTGAAGTCGGTCAAATTCTTGAATTCAGGATTTTGGAAAGCTAAAATCTTGAAATCGGTCAAAATCTTGAATTCAGGATTTTGGAAAGCTAAAATCTTGAAATCGGCTAAAATCTTGAATTCAGGATTTTTGTAAGCTAAAATCTTGAAATCGGCCAAAATCTTGAAGACGGTCAAATTCTTGAATTCAGGATTTTGGAAGGCTAAAATCTTGAAATCGGTCAAAATCTTGAATTGAGGATTTTGGAAAGGTAAAATCTTAAAATCGGTCAAAATCTTGAATTCAGGCTTTTAGAAAGCTGAAATCTTGAAATCGGCCAGAATCTTGAATTCAGGATTTTGGGAAGCTAAGATCTTGAAATCGGTCAAATTGTTGAATTCAGGTTTTTGGAAAGCTGAAATCTTGAAATCGGCCACAATCTTGAATTCAGGATTTTGGAAAGCTAAAATCTTGAAATCCGCAAAATCTTGAATGTAGGATTTTGGAAAGCTAAGATCTTGAAATCGGCCAAAATCTTGAATTTAGGATTTTGGAAAGCTGAAATCTTGATATCGGGAAAATTCTTAATTTTAAAATTTTAAAAAGC